GTAGGTAGTAGTAGTAGTAGTAGTAGTAGTAGTAGTAGTAGTAGTAGTAGTAGCAATAATAGTAGTAGTAGCAGCGGTAGTAGTAGTAGTAGTAACATTACTAGGTCGTTCTAAGCGTAGTGGAACTAGGAGTAATGGCAATAATAACAGTAGACGTTGTCATAGTCGTAGTCGTAATCGTGGCTGTGGGCCAGGTGGGGATAGGAATAGGTGTTGCTGCAATGCTAGTCGTAGTCGTGGCAGACGTAGTAGTACTGGAAATAATAAGCGTAGTACTAGCTGTGGTGGTGGTATTATTCCTAGCAATGAAGAAGTATCAGTGGTAGTAGTAGTGGTGGTGGTAGTAGTAGTAGTAGTAGTAGTAGTAGTGGTAGTGGTAGCGGTAGTAGTACTGAGAATGGTCGTCATAGCAGTAACAGGAATAGTTGCAGCAGCCATCGCAGTACTAGTAAGATCAGTGGTAGCAGTAGTAGTAGCAGCAGCGGAAGTCGCCGTAGTAGTAGTAGTCGTAGTAGTAGTAGGAGTAGTAGTAGTAGTAGTAGTAGTAGTAGTAGTAATAGTAGTAGTCGTCGTCGCAATAGCAATAGTAATGGCCGCAATCGTAGCAATACTAGCAATAATAGTAGCCGCAGCGGTCGTAGTAGTCGTAGTTGTTGTCGTGGTGGTAGTGGTAACAGTAGCAGTGGTAATAGTAATAGTAGTAATCGTAGTCGTAGCCAGAGTCTAGTAGTAGTAGCAGTAGTAGTAGTAGTAATAGTAGTAGTTGTGGTAGGTGGTAGTAGTAGCAGGTAGAAATAATAGGAAAACTGAAAGTAGCAGTAGCAGCGCCAATGGTAATAGTAGTAACAAGAATAGTAGTAGTGGTAGTAGTAGCAGTAGTCGTAGTCGTAGTAGTAGTAGTAGTAGTAGTCGTCGTCGTCGTCGTCGTAGTAATAGGAGGTGTGGTGGTGGTAATATAAGTAGTAGTAGTACTAGGATGAGGAGCAGTCGTAGTAGTGGTAGTAGCGGTGTTCGTAGTAGTTAAAGAAATAAAAAAAAATAGTCTGAAGGGTAAGTCGTAGTAGTGGTAGTAGTGGTGGTGCTGGTAGTGGTAGCAGTAGTAATAATCGTAGAAGTACTAATAATTTGAAGCTGGTACTAGCACTAGTAGTAGGAGCAGTAGTAGTAGTAGTAGTAGTAGTAGTAGTAGTAGTAGTAGTAGTAGTAGTTGTAGTAGTAGTAGTAGTAGTAGTAGTAGCAGTACTACTAGTAGTACTAATCGTAATGGAACTAAACGTAGTAGTTGTCGTCGTCGTAGTCGTATTCGTAATCGTGACTGTGGTAGTAGCAGTGGTGAATATACGGGTAGGAGTTGTTGCAATGGTAGTCGTAGCCGTAGCAGACGTAGTAGCACTGGAAACGATGAGCGTAGTACTAGCTGTGGTGGTGGTATTAGTCGTGGCAACAATAGTAGCAGTGGTCGTAGCAGTGGTGGTGGTAGTAGTAGTAATAGTGAGAACGGGAATGATTACCATAGCAGTAGCAGTAATATCTGTAGTGCCCATAGTAGTAGTCGTAGTAGTAGTCGTAGTAGTCGTAGTAGTAGTAGTAGTAGTAGTAGTAGTAGTAGTAGTAGTAATCTTGGTAGTAGTGATATCAGTAGTAGTAGTAGTAGTAGCAGCAGTAGTAGTGGTAGTGGTAGGTAGCAGTAGCAATCACCGTAATAATAGTACCAGAAGTAATAGTACTAGTAAGCGCAGAATTAGCACTCGTAGTAGTACTAGTAGCAGTAGTAGTAGTAGTAGTAGTAGTAGTCGTCGTAGAAGTAGTAGTACTAATCAAAATAGTAGTAGTAGAACTAGTAGCCGCAGCAGTCGTAGTAGTAGAAATAGTAATAGTATTCGTAGTCGTAGCCGTAGTAGTAGTAGTAGTAGTAGCAGTAGTAGTAGTAGTAATAACAGAACTAGTAGTAGTAGTAGTAGTAGTAGTAGTAGTAGTAGTAGTAGTAGGAGTAGTAGTAGGTAGTAGTAGTAGTAGTAGTAGTAGTAGTAGTAGTAATGGTGGTAGTAGAAGTAGGAGTAGTAGTAATAGTAGTAATCGTAGTAGTAGTAGTGGTAACGATAGTGGCAATAGTTATAGTAGTAGTAGTACTAGTCGTGATGGCAGTAGTACTAGGAGTAGTAGTGGTAGTAGTAGTGGTAGTAGTAGTAGTAGTAGTAGAAGAAGTAGTAGTAGTAGTAGTAGTAGAAGTAGTAGTAGTAATCGAAGTAGTAGTAGTAGTAGTAGTAGTAGTAGTAGTAGTAGTAGTAGTAGTAGGAGTAGTAAGAGTAGTAGTAGTAGTAGTAGTAGTAGTAGTAGTAGTAGTAGTAGTAGTAGTAGCCGTAGTAGTAGTAGTAGTAGTAGTAGTAGTAGTAGTAGTAGTAGTAGTAGTAGTAGTAGTAGTGGAAGTGGTAGTAGTAGTAGTAGTAGTAGTAGTAGTAGTAGTAGTAGTAGTAGTAGTAGTGGTAGTGGTCGTAATAGTAGCAGTAGTGGTAAAATGAGGAGTAGTCGTGGTAGTGCTCGTAGTAGCATTCAAAATAATAAGATGAGGGTAGTAGAAGTAGGAGTAGTAGTAATAGTGGTAGTAGTAATAGTAGTAGAAGTAGGAGTAGTAGTAATAGTAGTAATCGTAGTAGTAGTGGTAACGATAGTGGCAATAGTTATAGTAGTAGTAGTACTAGTCGTGATGGTAGTAGTAATCGGAGTAGTAGTGGTAGTAGTAGTGGTAGTAGTAGTAGTAGTAGTAGTAGAAGAAGTAGTAGTAGTAGTAGTAGTAGTAGTAGTAGTAGTAGTAATCGAAGTAGTAGTAGTAGTAGTAGTAGTAGTAGTAGTAGTATCCGTAGTAGTAGTAGGAGTAGTAAGAGTAGTAGTAGTAGTAGTAGTAGTAGTAGTAGTAGTGATAGTAGTAGTAGTAGTAGTAGTAGTAGTAGTAGTAGCAGTAGCCGTAGTAGTAGTAGTAGTAGTAGTAGTAGTAGTAGTAGTAGTAGTGAAGTGGTAGTAGTAGTGGAAGTGGTAGTAGTAGTAGTAGTAGTAGTAGTAGTAGTAGTAGTAGTAGTAGTAGTAGTAGTGGTAGTGGTCGTAATAGTAGTAGTAGTGGTAAAATGAGGAGTAGTCGTGGTAGTGGTCGTAGTAGCATTCAAAATAATAAGATGAGGGTAGTCGTAGTAGTGGTAGTAGGTGGTGGTGGTGGTTTGGGATTTGTTGGGCACGCGCAAAATGACCCCGGGGAAGATTGAACTGTGTGCGCAGCCTGCCGATCTCCGATCTTCGCCTGCCGTGCCGCAGTAGTGGCCTGCGTGCATGGGCTTGCCCCCGTCCCTCCGCGCCCCCCGAAAGCCGCGCACCAGAGAGCACCCCAGCAAAGGCTCGCTCCCAGGAAGGACATCCAACAATGGCGCCCAGGGCTTTCCACGCTGCGTGCTCCATGACCTTAGCTCACTGAAAGGTCCGACCGTTCGTGTTCGTCGCGCTGGTGCCGATAGTGTCCATGGGTGGGGCTCCCTTTCGTCGAGGCTGAACTGGTGTGGGCCCAGCGGTGCCCCTGGAGTGCGGAGTGCCCTGCGCTGCGCTTCGGTCCCACGTGAAGCCGACCCACGTGCAGCCGATTTGTCGGGGGCGTCCAAGGGGGGGGGGCGTGGAAGGCGGGGCTGGCAAACCATGGCCCGAGGCATGTGCGCGGACGGGGGGGGGGGCATGAGACGAAATAAAAGAAGAGAGGACCACGGGATCTGGGGACACATCATGGCCTCACCCATGATATCCACACCCCTGGTCCTCACCCCACCCCCCTCCCGGACGCCCCCGAAACCTCGGACATCCAAACGCCCGCAGGGGCCTCTGCAGGGCCTCCCGGGGGGGCGGGTCCACGAGGCGACGGCCGCGCAGAACCTCGCTGCCCGAGGCACGGAGGCCCTCCAAGAGAGAGAGGGACCCCTCCGCCCGCGGCCCGAGGTCCTGCCAAGGCCCGCACTTCACCACCACCTGGCCGCCCGCGACCGCCGCGCAGACGTTCAGGCCCGGCGGCGCGGACCTCTCGCGCAGAGCGTGCCGCGGCCGTCGCCGCGGCCGTCGCCGCTGGTCGGCTTCGTCGTCGCGAGTCGCTCGCTCGTTGCGGCTCGCTCGTCGCTCGTTCTCGTTGCGTGTCGTCGGTGTGTCTTCGGTCATCAAGCTCGCTGCCGCTATGTGCAATCGAAGAGCTGCACACATTTGGTAAGAGCTGGCGGGTGAGCGGGAAGATCAGCAGGAGGATGAGCAGGAGGAAAAGGAGGAGGTGGTGGAGGAGGAGGAGGACAGAGGACGAGGACGAGGACGAACATCATCAGCAAGATCTGGACAGGAAGGAACGGAAGGAGCAGGAGGACCGGGGAAGGCGGAGGAGGGGAAATTCGGGGGGAGATAGCGACGAATAGTAACTCGGATCCATAAGAAGGCCCCGCGGTGCTGCGACAGCGCCATTCTGAACGACGGGAGCATCATCTTGAAACACCGAAGAAAATGGAGCCCACCACAACACATAAGAAAAAAAACGGCGATTGTAATCATCTGCGCAGAAAACTATACGCAAAGAGGGCCAAATATCTGCCGGACAAAGTCAGGGGAGAGAGGAGAGAGAGTAGCGTTCATACTGTGTACCTTTACGACCACCCTTCGGGTGATAAGGAGGTTGCGGGTGGGAAGAAACCAACGTTTTACCCAATCGATCTCACGATAGACCTCACTCACTACGGATCCCACTTACGATGTCACAAGCAATCTTACCCGCGATATCCATCGAACTCGGTTATCTACCGTCCTCAATATCAGTCAATATCACGACCTCTGTTTCGATCCCACTATCGACTTCGCGATCGATCTCACTATCGACCTTACATTGGATATTACTACCGAGCGGTCTCATTGTCCGTCGATGTCACGATATACCGATCTCATCATTCATCGATCCCACATGTACCTATCGGTCTTCACACCCACGCTGGCATTTGGAGGCATCGGAAGTTGTAGGCATCGGAGGCACGCGTGCTAGATGATCGGAGGCATTTGGTCACACAGCGGCGCGCCAGCTCAGATCGGAGATCTTCTGACCCGGGTCATTCCAGACACTGCAAGATCCTGCAGGATCCTCCACCCAGATCCAGGTCAATGCGACTCTGGCCCCGCAGGATCCTGCAAGATCGGCGCTCTGGCTGACCCCAGTTTGCACTGACCCCCGTCTCAAGACCAGAGCGGGCCCCAGGCGTGCGTCACGGCGACCTCGCGGCGGGTCTGCTCAGAAGACCCGCGCTCGCCCTTTCGGGCACGACCGGCGAGCGCGGCGCGGCACTGCACGCGCGGACCCTCGCCGACACCTGGCAGATCCTGGCACGGTCCTCGAACGCTCCGTGACAGATGCACAGAGTGCACACCATTGCTGCCCGAGTGAGTTGCACCGTCTGCGCCTTCGGGGCCATGCTCCACGACAGCCCACTCCCCACGCGCACGCGGCGGAGCGAACGGAATGATCGCGATGCGAACGGCCAACTTCAAGGCGCACAGGACCACCAACTCGTCGGCAAACTCATTGGCGGTCAGCTCCTGGACCCAGCGAAGAAGGCACATCGCCTCGGCGCCCGCAGCGTCCCCGACGTCAACGCCGGCGAATGCCTAATAGATCCCGGCCTTCATGTCCGCCCTGAGTAGTGTCCGCAGGGCCTCCGCCACAACGCCTGGCGGCGAAAAGCGCGAGCCAATATCGCCAAATCGTTGCAGACCCTGTGCTCTTAGCTCGCTCACCGCTTGCCGCACCAGACTCTCGCATTGCAGAGCCTCTGCCAGAACGCGCGGCGAGCATTCGGTCGAGCTAGATGCAGGGCACCATCAGGAAGCAAGCACCCGTGGCTCGCCTCGCAAGCTGGGGGCCGCGAAGCGGCAAGCCAACACTCAAGAGGCGGGGAGAGGCGAGGATGCCCTTCGGAGATTTGGACGCCCGAGATGGGCACGGAAAACAAGAGTACAATGCCCAACAACACGTGTTGTCCAAAACAGACAGCGGCCGCTGTTGGGCAAGGCTTGTATTCAGTGAACAACGTCCGCGGCGGCGCGGACAGCGAGCCCTGTTCAACGTGAACAGGAACTGCTGCTGGGCATCGTACCCAGTCTTTTCGTACCCATGTCGGTCGTCCCGAGGGGAGGGCGGGGCGCTCAGAACGTGTAGCCGGTGCGGCGGCCCGGGCTCTGGGCCTAGGGGTCGTGTGCCCCGAGCGGGCCGTGAGCCAGCACCCCAGCGGGCCTTGGACACGACAGGGATGTCTCTGACAGGCGTAGTCTTGCCGTACAGTGGAGGCCAGTCCACGAGAAACCTTCTACAAGAAACCCAACCCTGGGACCCCAGGACGTCCATCGATTCTTGGTGTGGGAACGTCGCGCCTTCCACAAGAGAACCATCGAAACCCAGGAAACCCAGGGTACTCTGCAGGCAAGCAGGGTGTTTCCTGGCATGGGTCTCCGCTGTTTGGTTGCCGTTCTGGCGTTGTTTTTTGACCTGGTCCCGTCGGCGTTTTTTCTGGCTCTGCTTCCGGTCCCACTTCCGGAGCAGTTTTGCTCCAGATTTTAGGGACCAGTTTTTATCGCACTCATGCTCCAGAGACAGCTCTTTGCCAACGGCCCAGAAAACGACCCTGGCGCTTCCCGGGCCCACTACGGTCAGCACGTCCACGGCGCCCGTTCCCACATCTGCCCGTGCACGTGCTGCGCCACTGTCCAAATGGTGGTCTTGGAGGCCTCCCAAATGGGGTTCCAGTAGCCAGGGTCGAAAAGATCGCGCCGCATCGCCGATACATAGCCGACGTACCGGCGATGCATCGGCGACGCCGGCGATGTATCGGCGACGGCGTAGAGAAAATCGGGCCTCACATCGAGTCGCACCGTCGATGCATCGACGACGCGGCACGGCCCTCCGACCCCCATTTCCTCTGGACCCATTTGAGCGACGAGCAAAAACGGGCCCTACGCGGTATGATGCGACGTGGCGACCCTGCGCGCGGCGGCTTGCGCGGGCCGCCAGCGCGGCACGCCAGATTGGGAACGAGGGAGCTCACGCGCGAGCTCACGCGGGCAGGTCGGTGAAGGTCGGGGGCGCGCAGGCATGGATGAGCGATCCATGCATTCGGCGCGCGGTCGCCAAGTCCGTGGACCGGGGGAGGTGCCCTCCCCCAAACTGCGGCCGGTGCCGCCCCGCTCGGCGGCGGACATCCGCGATGTCCCGTGGAAACGGGACCCGTCGCTAATCTTCGCCCCCTGGATCCATGTTTGCGCTCACCTGATCTATGGAGGGCGAAAAAGAGAGTTTACTGAAGGGCACTTCAGGGCCCCTTCAGGAGCCAGCAGGGGCCGAAAAGAGGGGCCCCCAAAATGCCCCTTTTTGGGGGGGCCTCTTCTTCACCAAGAAGTGCATAAGAAGTGCATAAACTGACACTTTGCATGTAGCTTTCCCTCCGCGCCTTCCCCTCCCTCCCCTTCTCCCCTCTCCCCCCCTGCTTCCTCCAAGCGTGCTGAAACGATTTTTTTCTGCGGCGCATCCCACGCATGTTTCTTTCTTACGAAGATTCGCCAACCGCGCTCTATTCTGCCTACGCGTCATGCCGGATGCTTGGCGTGCAAATCACCCTCCCATCACTCCCCGTCATCACCCATCCGAATCGCCTGAGAAGACGACCCTCCTGGGCGGGACGGCCCATCGGGGCCCTCTCGGTGATGATGATGACGAGGAGGAGGAGAAGGAGCGACCGTACCGAGAAAGGACGAGACGAGGGCAGGCGGGCAAGACGCGAGAAGAGGGCAAGTGTCCACGCGTCCGCTTGTCTCGTCTATGGCCGCATCGCGTGCAGTGCAGCAGCTAGGCACTCAGTGCCTGTAGTGTAAAGAAGCGCGGCGCGGGGCGCGGCGTGCGTAATGATACGCAGTTTGTTGTAAAAGTGATATGAAAGCGCTGTCCTGCGAACAGCTTCTGAAACTGTGTGCTCTGGGTTTGCGTGTTGCTCTGACGTCCCTAGGCCAATTCGCACGAGGGGGTCCGAGGAGAGAAAGGAACGGGGTAACGCGAGGAAGTGCAGAAGGCGGGGACAGGTGAGGTAGTGATCGAGACGGTCTGGGCAAGCTTCGCACCCGAGCAGACACGTGCGGCGCGGTCCAAACGGGAATCGGTGGCTGGTCCACCACGCTCCCGCTAGCGTTTTCAAGACAGCCCAGCGGATGGCTGGTGCTTTCTTTGAAAGGTATTCTGAAAGCTCCTTCCAGCGGGTTGGCAGGGCTGGAGGGAGCACGACTTCTGGGAGAGCCGACGAGAGGCGGCGCGCTAGGGTCTCTGCGAACTTGTCGGGGTAGAGGGAGGAGTGGAGGACCGAAGCAAGGGTTCGCTGGACCCTAGCACGGCGCGCTTCGTTGGTGGCAGCGGCGTGCTCATCTGCAGCGGCGCGCTGTGCCGCGCGCCAGATGGGCAGTGAGACGGCGTGTGGCGGCTGACCGTAGGCGGGGTCGCGCCAGTATTCGACGATACCTGGACTCTTCCAAAACACAGGCGAAACCGTGGCCCGAATACGGGCCTGCCCCAAATCCGCCAGGGACAGTTCTGGATTTAGCTGGTCCTGGGCCAGGACGAGCGCGCGATACAGCGGCTTCCAGTCGGGAAGCGTGTCAGTGGCAGTGCGCCAGGCAGCTGCGAGTGAGAGCGTGACCAGTGAGTTGGGGGAGGACGAGGGCGACCACGAGCGAGTACCGAGGAGGTCGACGAGGCGCCAGGAGTTGGGGGGTGCACGTAAAATATTGTGCAGCGTGCCGCGTTCATGCCGCGGAAACGTGGCAGGGAACGGCAAGTATTGCGTGATATACGACAGCACAGTTATAACACATGTGTTATATAATTTGATGGCAACTGAGGGGCCTGGCGCGCTCGCCGCAAGCTGCACCACCCGTAGCCAGTATTTATCAAATGCGGCCTTCCACTGGATGTCTAGAGTGACGGCGGGACCGATGAGTACCCCTAAATAGCGGGCGTACTCGGCGATCTGAATGTGTTGCCACTCTGGGACTAGAAATTTGAGCAAGCGCTGAGTGAGAGATTGCACGGCAGGTGAGAAGGCGGCCCACAAGGGCACAATCACTGTCTTCTGAATCTGAAGTTCGAGTCCTGCGAGAGTGGCAATGGCCCGAAAAGGGGGAAGGAGGAAAGGGAGGGTCCCAAGGCGAGCGAGGACAAGGCCCAGATCATCTGCGCAGGCACCGAGCTTGTTAGATCCAGGAAGAAGGTTTAAAATCTGGACAAGATGACGGATGGGGGCATCAAACGCCAGGGCCCAGATCGATCCTGGAAGAGGACAGCCCTGAAGCACCCCAGAGCCGATTTCGAACATGTACTGAAGCTGGCCACCGACGCGGGCCCACGCCCCTGGAGAATGGTAAAGCGCACGAATGACATTGAGATACCCTGGGGGGGGACTCCGTGAGCCACCAAAGAAGCAAACAGGAATTCCCATCCTAAGGATGGGAAGGCAGCTTTGATATCGAAACTGACTAAGATGGGAAGGGCATCTAGGGCAGCTGGGGAGTGGCCTGCTCTACGGGCTTCAGAATCTAGCGTCAGACCGTGTTGTCCGAAATTACGGCCCTTTACGAACCCCTGCTGCGTGTCTACCGTTCTCTCTTTGACCATATCCACTAAGCCCATGTTCACGACGTGGGCAATCAGTTTGGCGTCGCAGTTATTTAGGGAGAGGGGGCGAGTGGCACCTGGAGCTCGAAATACGGCGTATTGGTCCTGGGGCTCATCACCTTTTGGAAGAAACGCGAAGACGGAATCGTTGAACTGAAGCGGGGCCAGGCCTGTTTCGAACATCTGCATCATGAGGTCATCTAAGATCTGAGCGGAGCCTGGAGAGGTAGCCCATGCAGCATAAGGTATCTGGTCAGGGCCTGGGGCAGTGCGACGTACCTTACGTAGGGCTCTCTGAAAGTCCTGAAGAGCTCGAACCCGCAGGTCCGCGCAATCGAAGACGGGGAGGTGCTGGGCCAAGTACGACTGGACCGCGTTGGGGTCCACGATCTTGCTCGAGAAGATGGGCTGCCAGAACTTCTGAAAGACCTCCGAAAATGCCCTCGGGTGAGCTGGTGGTGGGGAGGGCATTGGTGGGTGTCCCCTCTTTTGGTATCCTAAGTCCTGAAAGAACGAGGCGACGACGACATGGGTTCCAGGCCTGCGCCCGGCGTGTGAGCTGCATCGCGGCCTTGCGGCTGCCGGCCTGGTCCATCTGCATCTCGGCGTGGGACTGCAGCTGGCGCTTCGTGGCGATGGCGACGCGTCTGTCGTAGTCTGCGGTAACAGCTGCATCCATAAGCTTGATGTACTCGTCTCTGTTGATGAGCTCGGGCCCGTTGTCGGTAAGGCGAAGGTGAGCGCCGCCGATGTCCGTCGCGGCCATGAGGAGCGCTGCCGTGTCTGAATCTTTTCGCCAAACCGTCCGAGCAATGGCACGTAGTGTAGTCAGCCTCCCATGCTTCGCCCAGCGGCTTTGATCATGTAGGGTGGCTCGCTGTTGAAGATTACGAGTGAGGCGAGCCGCTTCTTTGATGATGAGCTTGTGTTGCTTCCAGGCTCCAGTTGGCGTGAGAGCTGCCGAGGCGATGCTGTCCTTCAGGAAGTTGAAGTGGCGCTGGTACGTGGGATCGTGGAAGATGAGCGGATCGATGGCCTGTTCCTCCTTCTGCGCCGCCGATGCGTTGACCAGCAGCAGGTGCAGGATCGCGTGGTCACTGAGGCCTTTATCAGATAAAGCAGCGCCGTCTTTGTGGATCTTGAGGTGAGCGTCGACGTTCATGAGATCGATGCCCGACAGCAACACGAAGATGCGGTCTATGGCAGTAGCCGCTTGTGTGTTGGCCGAGAAGTGCGTGGGCAGGTCGTGCGTAACTTCCGTGAGCGAGGCAAACACTTGGCGCCAACGCGCTTGTTCGCGCTGATACTGTCCATCAGGTGCCATCGGCCGTCAACGTGCTGATGGATCCCTGAAGTTAAAGGAGGGGACCGCGCTGGTGTTGAAATCGCCCATGGCAATGAATAACCGCTGTTGTGGGTTCTGCGCTGCCCATTGTCGGGAAGCATGCCACGCTTCCGCCACTCTATCCATATCCGTAGCCTGCAGGTCGTGATTGTGCACATTCATGATGAGCGTTTCGAAGCCCGTGGTGTGGTTGGCCACATGGAGGACAGCAACCCTCCCGCGTATCACTGGCCAGATCGAGGTAGAGGTCGTCGTCATCGAAGGCGTCGGCACTAAGAAGGCGATGCCGCCCTTGCCGCGGTTGTGAGGGAAGCCGCTGAAGAAGACCTGATAGTCGTAGGGAAGTCTGCTAAGGTGTGATTCGAGATCGAGCTGTGTGCTGTGCACCTCTTGGAGAGCGATGAGCGACTGCTTGCGCATGAAGGGAACGAGCTGCCGTATCTTTCCCCAGCGCTTGGCATCATCATGACAGAGTAGCCCGCGAGCGTTCCAACAGATGTAGCTGCCTGCCGTATCTGCTGTAGTAGGTCGTGTACGTGTACGAGTAGTCCGAGACCGACGGTTGTTGAATGATGAGCTGGTGTCCGACGAGGATGAAGAAGCGCTGGTAGAAGACGATGACGAAGAAGCCGAAGATGAGCTGAAAGTTGAAACCGAGTCATTCTGAATCTTATCTATTTTGAGAATGCGATCTCGTTCGGGAA